GGAAACAAAACATTAAATGAATGTGAAAACTGAATTATCAGTTCAAAGTAAATCTTCCTGGTGCTTGTTAGATACTTTTAATTTAGAATTTAAATTAGCCAGTTATGAGTGATGGAATTTTCCTTTCTCTTTTCTCAAAGACACAATGCTATGAACCTTCAGCATGGTTTGTGTTTAGAATTCTGTTGAGCATCATTTTTTTTGCTTCTTTTTATTTCTTAAATCAATCATATGATTGAACTGACCCAGTCAGGGATCTTATGGTAAATGAAGCTGATGTTATTTTTTTTATAGCCAATCAGATTTTACTGAACCAAAATAAGTGAAGATAAGAAAGTAGACATTTTTATAAACAGATTTACAAAGTAATTCTATTTTATAACTCAAGAAATCACAAACTAGCTGACACCAACTTTGGCTAACTTTTGGCTCCCTTCTTATGGGGTTAATTTATGGTTCAGTGTATCATGAGATTCCAGTAAATGGGTTTCTTCAATTAAAATTGTTCAGATAACCATGGGTAAGCATAGCAAGCAAGCACAGCCATTGTTAAAAATATGAGCAGTTTGGACTTTGCTGTAATAATATAATGTTACGGTAAAATTAGCCTGAAGTTGAACTGTAATGACTCTAATGTGGCATCCTGTTTAAAATATCTCCAAAGTACCCTCATGGTAATCAGTATGGAGTCTGGTGACGTACAAATAAGGGAGATTTTTTTTAACCGAATCAAATAGTTCAATATCAAGTAATGATGCATATGAATTCCAGCAATTTAAAGTCTCCCTCATTTATCTGTGAGAAATAATTACATCAAAAACTCACAGATGAATGTCTATTTTGAAATCTGTGCACTGAATCAGGTCAGGCTTACAAATCTGCAGCCTTCTTTGTTTGTTCCTTTTATTGCTCCTGTATCCAAAATGCAGATTGCTCTCAAAAGGCTGTCCTGTCCTGCATTTCTATGACCACCCCTCTTTCTAAAGTGACTCTGGGTATGCAATAAATGTTAAGAAATACCCAATATAAGGGTTAAGTTAAAGGTAAAGGTTCCCCTCACACATATGTGCTAGTTGTTCCTGACTCTAGGGGGAGGTTCTCATTCCGTTTCAAAGTTGAAGAGCCAGTGCTGTCCAAAGACGTCTCCGTGGTCATGTGGCTGGAATGACTAAATGCCAAAAGTGCACGGAATGCTGTTACCTTCCCACCAAAGGTGGTCCCTATTTTTCTACTTGCATTTTTTACGTGCTATCAAACTGCTAGGTTGGGAGAAGTTGGGACAAGTAGCGGGAGCTCACCCCGTTATGCGGCACTAGGGATTCGAACCGCCGAACTGCTGACCTTTCGATCGACAAGCTCACTTCATAACCTAAACAAAAAAGAAGCTAGCACTGGGGCTGAAGACAACTCTTTTATGAGCAAACCCATTATGCAATATGATGATAGCAAAACCAAGATAAGATTCAAGGGAGGTAAAATATCCTTCTCTCAAGATCTCTTGGATTCCCAAAGATTTATGGGAATTGATGTCCAACAAATCTGAAAGTCACCACGCTGGAGATAGCTGTAGTAGAAGTTGTGGTGCTTCAGATTGACTCAAGGCAATGTGTTCCAATGGGATGAGCATATATTCAGTTGTTTGTCTTCAGTTAGCCTTGGATGAATGCAGTGGCACCAACAGGGTTAATGAGCATGTAAGGGTGGTATTAGCAACTGGGTGGCTAGGTTCATTTAGTGCATTTAGGCTAAGAAAACATAGCATCTATGCTTGCATCACATGCTGTACCGAAACCAACCAACCCACCGCATTATGCTTTCACTTGATCGAAGGATTTATCATGTTGATTTATCTTGTTGAATGATTTATCCTGTTGATAGTCCCAAAGGTGCTTTTTCAGGAGGCAACTGGACTTTCTTGTTTTTTTTTTCTTTTGAAGATGTTTCACTTCTTCAAAACATCTTAAAAAGAAAAAAAAAGTCCAGTTGCCTCCTGAAAAAGCACCTTTGGGGCTATCAAAAGGATAAATCATTCAACAAGATAAATCAACATGATAAATCCTTCGATCAAGTGAAAGCATAATGCGGTGGGTTGGTTGGTTTCGGTACAGCATGTGATGCAA